TCCATATTATTCCAGCAAAGGTCTCTATTCCTTGCTGTGACTATATATGAAGCACTTTTGTTCTCCTTGAATGACAAAGTATGAGATTCATTCCTTCTGGCACTCAGTACTAGTCTTGCAAATTTCAGGATTCCCAAGCTGCTGGTCAGGTTCCTATGCCACCTTCTCTGTGTCTAGTATCTAGTATCAGAAGAGGGAAGTTGACTTGCTGCAGTCTCTGCTCCTGCAGAGTGAGGGGATGGCTGAATGGGAAGCTGTATTGTGCGCCTTATCTCTGGGTCACCAAAGTTGGAGGAATAGGGCCATGAATCGCTGAGTCACTACAGAACTATGGAGGCCTATTAATCTGTCTTGCTTGCGTTTAAAGCTGGTTCTAGAAATTAAAAGGAGATGATCAGATAGTTTCAGCTCTAAATTTGACCCTACTTTAAAATTGACCTGATAGAAAATATTCTTCACATTCCAACAGTAAAATTTGCAAAAGCACCTAAGGTACATTTTCAAAAATGACACAGGGCCAGATTTTCAAAGGTATTTAGTCACCTAAAGATGCAGATAGGTGCCTAGTCGGATCTTTAAAAGCACCTAAATAGTTGATCTCAATGGAGGTAGGCACCTAATCTGCTGAGATGCTTTTGAAAATCCCACTGGCTGCCCATCTGTTTCTTTAGGTGCCTAAATACCTTGGACAGTTTGTCTGTTAAACACCTAACTGCCTAAGGCTCATGACCTACAACATCAGATTCTCATTTACACTAAGACCCCTTTACACTGCCAGAGTGGTGCAAAGGTGCTTAAATGTAACTGAGCGTTGAGCCCATGGTATTAATTTCAATTTACCACTATGTCAGCAAGAGTCCAGTCCTGCTCCCATTTAAATCATTGCGAGTTTTGGCATCAACTTCACTGGGAGCAGGATCCAGCCTCAAGAAATTAAAATAAAAAGGCAATAGCTAAGACGTGATCCTGTGACTTTTTATGTGGTTCTCCTGCTGCATTGGCACCATCCCGCCATGTGGCGGTTGATAGGAAGGTTCTTTTAGTCTGTAATTGTATTGACAATTACATCATCAACGATGCTTTAGCAAACTGGGAGATAAATAATCTGCACTGGCTTGTGCTCCATAGAAAATAGAGGGGAAATGAATTGATATTTATCACATGGAAAAAGGACAAAAGGGGCAGTAGGATAATGTCCATTTCAGCCTTTTAAGAGATTACAGACTATGGCAAACATCAAAAATACTTTTAAAATATTTTCATCGGTATCATTTCATCAGGTCTCTTCACCCTCAGTATCTACATATGAGTCCTATTAGGTTGTGGGGTAGAATACTAAACTACACTAATTAGTAGCATCTTAATCCCCTGCACTTTAAAAAAAAATACTTGTGCTGATGTCTTGGTTGCCTGCAGCCTGGCATGAGGGTAGAACCAGATATAGACAGAGACCAGCTTCTATTGCTTTGATATCTGGATTACACAGTACAAGAAGCATATCATATGGCTTCCATGTTATTCTTCTCCAGGGTACACTGTGGCTGGTTCCTGGTCTCCTCTCTCTCCCAGTCACTTAGCTGCTCCTGTGTGTGAAATAAAGCAGAGGAACCTAGGAATGCATTTTATGGTTTTCTCAGTATATCATCATCCTTTGACAAAGTCTCTTTCATAAAAATTGTTTTTATTTCCCCTAGGAGAAAATACAGGCAGTTACTGACATGAGACTTGCCTTCTATTGGGGAACCTGGAGAAACAGTGAAAATAGCTCACTTTAATTTAAGACCAAGCTGGAAGTGCTGTCCTTGGGATGGCTGATGTGTTGTTTGGAACCACAATGTACTGCACGGAAGACGTGCACTGTACCTTTCAGAAGATAGTAGGTTAGGCTCCTATCAATTGCTGATCCAGCTATGGGTCACATGTTCATTGGGAGAGACCATTTTAAGGGCTGCAGTAACTGCTTCTTTAGCAGCTGAAATAAATTTTACAGGAAACAAAACAAAACCCTACCAAAACAAACTTCACTGCACACACACTTCTCCCTGTGGAGAGAGAATGAGAGAGAACAAACAGCACGTGACAGATGTTAGTCACATGGCTTAATTCACTACTGGAAAGTGCTCAGATACTAGTTGATGGCGGCAATATGAGAATCTGTGTAGAATAAAATAGTCACTTTTATATTCTTATGGTCACTGTTCTGAAGCAGATAAGCTGTCTTCCATGTGAGTTCATTGTGAGGTAGGGTTGCCAATTCTGGTTGGATAGATTCCTGGAGGTTTCATTTTATGATGTAATCTTTCATTAAAGATTAATCTTTAATTCCAATCCTGGAGGCTTAGCAACCCTAATTGTGAAGCAGTCTATGCAGATTATCCTGTAAAAAACAATGCCCTGTCCTCTGTGGAGGACGTTAACGATCCCACTGCCATATTTGTATGAATATTTGTTTGCTCCAGGGCCCCTGGCCAATTTTTCCCTATCACTCATGGTTATGGAATATGCTGTGCAGTGGTCCGTTGTCTTCCTCCACTGTAGAGGCTGTTTTTCAGTCATATTGCCGTTTGTGAAGCACTTTGGATGAAAGGCATGACAAGGATGTAAAATATTACTGCTCTTTCAAGAGAAAGGCACATGGAAGTTCTCATCCTAGTTCAGACAAGTCAGCAGTCTAGTCCTATCTGCTGTTTCTGACAGTGGCCTGTACCAGTACTTAAAAGGAAGGTGCAACGAAAAACATCATGCACCTGGCCAGCCGTGTAATACTATGCTGTTGGGGGAAGTTTTTCCTCTCCCTTGTTGGTGATCTCTCAGCATATTTCCTGAAGCATGTGAACAGGTAACCTGGTAGCTCAAATAGTTGCAGATACACTGTTTATTCATATCAGGGTAAAACTCTCTAAACCTCCATGGAGCCTGAGACTTTATATGTGGCTGTCCTGCTTGGGGGTGGGTGGGTGTATATGCTCTCATTTGCAAACTCCAGCCCACATCTTGGGGGCATGAAATGGGGCTGCACTGCCTCCACTCTGCAGCTGCTATAGCATCTCCTACCTATAGGCTAGAACAGCAGCCACTGCACTTTCTTTGTACCTTGCAACTGGATCTGCGTAAGCAGAGATCCAGAGGCCCTTCTTTGTGGCTTCCCCCAACATCTTCTCCATACTAGCCTGCTTCCAATATAGAGCGGAACTTCCCAACGTAAAGATGGAGTGCTTCTGACCTCTTGACCACTGTGCCTTTCCTTCTGCCTGTAGCTCCCATGCATCCTCTCCACCACCCCCATTCCTCTCACTGGCACAGGGCTACCAGGTCGGTACAGCACAGAGGGATATTTCACCCACACATGCCTAATACTTTCATCAGTCCTTGCTAAGCTCTTTGCTTCAGTAATAAGTGAAAGGCTGGGACTTCTCAACATGCTCATTGCAAAGGGTTATTTGAAATTACTGCTTTATCTGTGGGGACCACTTTCTCTAAGTTAACTAGATCGCTCAAGGTAAAACTACACCGTATTTATGGGAGAAGCCACAGGAGCCAATAGCTGGGGCACAGATGTTTGTGTAACTTTGCCCTGGCCAGCATACTGGAGATAAGGGAAAATGTATATGTGCAGCTTTCCACCCGACATAACCACGTTTGTCCTTGGCTGTCCAAAATAGTCTTATGTGTATGGTATAAAGAAACAATAAAACCATATTGTTGTGAAAATGTGTTGGTCAAAGGAGAAAGGTATTGAAAGGATTATATGAAATAAAACCTATTTTCCTTGGGTATGATTCTGCTGCGGGATCTATTCTGGCTAAGGAAGGTTGTTGGGGCAGAAGAATGAGCAAAGGTCATGGCTTTGTGCTGGCAAAAAATGCAAAGATTGTAACCTTAGTTTTAAAATAGAAGGAAAAGTCAATATGTTAATTCTCATTAAGTTTATTTTCTATCAGAATACTGTTAAAAAGCTGCCAGTACTGGCTTAAGAATTTGTAAAGATAACAAAGCACCAAAATATCCATGAAGCTGGTTGTTTGCCATTGGAAATTATGAGGAAGGATGCTCTGGTAATTGGAAAAAATGCAAAACTCAAAAATTTGCAATTAATAATATTTAACTAATAGTGTTAAACTATTTTAAAACCCTGATCACTCTCCCATACTCAATTACACTGCATCTATAGAGAGACAAGTATGTAAAATTTCATGGAAGAATCTAGCTCACTCACATGTTGGCCGGAGTGACAAACTCCATGGGGCCTTATTCTCTCCAGTATCATTTACAGCCACACAGAATTTGTTTTGGTAGTGCTTTATATCCACTTTACATGGGTGTGACTACATGCAGTGCATGACTTTTTATGGGAACACCCTGAATCATATTGTTTTCATAGACGTCATGGTCATGAAATATTTATTATCTTAATTATGACTCTTAGAATCTGGCCCTTACTGGGAGCAAGGGAGAGAGGGGTAGCACCTATGCAGAGGCCTCCTGGCAGCATTATACCTGCAGAGGCCAGGAGCAGGTATAATGACTCAAGAGGCACTGAGTAGAACTCACTATCGGCAGCTTTTGCTACACATGGAGAGAATAGTCATAGGCTATGTTCTCTTCAGCCAAGTCTCTTGTGTACTGGCTCTTGTGTAAGGGGGTACAGAGCCAGGCCCCAACCCACTCCAGGATGAGACTACACTCCCTCTGGCAGCTGCTTAGAATGTGACTTAGTGTCCTCCTAGCACTGCCAGTGCAAACAAATACATTATGCCTACATGCTTTGCGGGAACGCTGGGAACTAAGGACAAGGTCCCTGCACCTTTTCTTCCATCTCCAGCATGTGTGCTAGAGCATCCATATTGTGATCCTATGAATTCAAGAAAAGCAATTGAATTAACAGTTAAAAATCTAAAATCATATTTATGGCAGAGCAAACCAGAGTGGCTAACATAATAGCCTCCCTGAACTTCTATCCTGAAGATGACTCTGGAGGGTTTAATAAGTTTGTTGCTGCATTTACCAGTTTTGTCTAACACTGGAAGTAGAAGTAGAAATACTGAAAGGGAGTCTGTTCCTAGCCAGGTGAAATTAGGATATTCCTGAAATTTTTGAGGGAGCCTTTTCCCATGAGATTTACAGGTAGGAGTCTCAGATGAGTTTGCCTGGAACCTCTAACCCCTAGAGGGAATCCTGTCACTCAGGCAGGAAATGCAGCCCTTTCTAGAGAGTATCCTTACAAGGAGCTGCACTGAGAATGTGTGGTTGGATTGCAAATAATTATCAACCATATGTCACTAATATTTTGTAACTTCTCCTTTCCCCAGTTCATGACAAAAAACCCAAATAAGCGACTAGGCTGTGTGGCGTCGCAAAATGGGGAGGACGCGATTAAACAGCATCCGTTCTTTAAGGAAATTGACTGGGTTCTTCTAGAACAAAGGAAAATCAAGCCACCCTTCAAACCTCGGATTGTAAGTAGCAGTTTGAGTAAACTCTGGAGATAACTTGGTTAAAAATTCTTGGTTTCTTTTGCTGTATTAAGAAACTATGCACATGGTGCAGAAATTAGAAGTTGAAATAACAGAGTAAGTGCCTTGCTGAAGAGATTTCCCTGGTATTGGTTCCTCTGAAGGTAAGTGTCAGATTAGAATACACTGTAACATTTTTGTATTCAGTCTCTCTGCAAACTGAAGAGAGCCCAAGATCCTATTTTGAAGCTTTTCCTCAGTTTCTATGGATATCTCAGTCTGAAGAATGTGCTTCAAGTTATATACATTCTCAGTAGGAACTATGCAATAGTCCCACCTTGGTAAACCTTTGTGGTTGTGATGTTTGGGGAAAAGTTCCTGATTACATCAAATAAAAAAATATAATAAAACAACATTAAGGACTAAAACCAATAAAGGAAAGAAAAATGTTTAATGGTCTAGTTATGTCCAGATACCTATCTAAGTAATAATAAAGTATCATATTTTAAATTAACAAATGTAAATAAACATCCACCTCTCTTGCTAAAGCAACCGAACCCAGGCAAAATAGTTTTCAGTATTCTTTTCTTCCTCTAAATGAAAATCACCAAACAAATGAGATGTATTTATATTTTACAAAAATGTCAACTTTTGGGCTAAGAATATGTATGGCAAATTTTATGATGAGGTATTTGAAAACATTGGCTTAGAGTCTAAAGAAAGAACAGACTCTTGACTATAGCACTGCAAGTATGGTACTTTTATACCTAATCAGACAATATTATTTTCCACTGGGTGCCAAAGCTTTGGAAACCCTCATGCTCCTTTTAATTTTGTTCCCTCTTTATTGTACTGTTTGGTCTTGTCTGCAAGTCTGATCAATGTTCTGTTTGTGTCTTTCTTCAGAGAGTTTATGAAGATATTAAAAAACATTGGGCCCAATGAATCCAAGTGTCGTAAAAATTAGGTGCAGAAAAGACCTATTAAGTCATCTAGTCTGTCCCATGTGTCTATGCAGAATTTTCCTCTGTGGGATAACAGTGAAGGTTCATATATCCCAAGTGACTGGGCTTTCACCACTTCACTGGGAGAATATGCCACTACCTAATAGATTTCACTCATAGGAATATTTCAAAACCTAAATCTAAATCTTCCCTTTTCTAATTTCATCCAATTTAGTCCAAGTTTTACCCCCTCGTACTCTCCTCCTTAATTTCTTCCTATTCATTGTTCACACCCATCAAATATTTGTAAACTGTTAAGTCTTAGTCCAGGTTTAGCCAACCTATATATATCTAGCTCTTTTAACATTTCCACATAGACGTGTCCTTTCATCCCATAATCATTTTTGTTGCTCTTCTCTAAACCTGTCCTGTTTGTCAACATTTTTCTAGTAATGGACTGACCAGAACTCAAGCTAAAGTTCTAAATGAATCCACACTTGCTTTACCCCAGGCCACCAATATCTCCCTATTTCTCTAGCGATTTCTGAAACTAATTGCCAATGATCCAGTACTTCTGTCAGCTATTTTCCCTTAATACCTCAGGATGCATATTATCTACTGGTAGTTTTTCATACATTCACATTTTCCAGCTATTCCCTTATCTCTACTTTATCAATAGCCATTTTGCAAGATCTTCATTATTTAATTGTCCAAATGAATTTTTGTTTTTCTTCTTCTTAAAAACCAAAAGGAATTCAGTATCTCAGCCATTTTGACTGATCATTGATATAATCCCTCCTAATATGTTAATGGGCCTTCTTTCTTTCTGATAATTCTTTCTCTCCTAATATATTGCAAAAGCCATTTTTATTTCCTTTCACACCCTTTTGATAGCATTAGCTCCTTTTGCATATTTGCTCCTTTTTCCTTACATCACTGTTAATATTTTTGTTTGGTTACCTCTTCTGTTTCCATTGAGATTTGTTGGTGGTCTCTAAGCAGTTCCTTGTAAAGCTAGAGTGTCAACTGGTGGCTCCTGAAATACTTACTTGTAGGAGTAATTGTATGTTGCATCTTAATTATGCTGGTTTTTATGATCCTTCAGGCTGCTATCACAGTGTTGGATTTCCATACTTCTCATCACACCTTATTCACCAGCTTTCTTAGTTCTCCAGACTTTGCCTTCCTGAAACCTAGTAGCCTTGTATAACTGCTTTCTGTGAAACCTTTCCTTACGATGGTGAATTCAAAATTTTTTAGTCTGGTCTATTATTTTCTCGTTCTCAATCTGTTCCTCCCTCTCAGTAAAAAGTATATCAAGGATAACTTCTCTTCTAACTTGTCTCTATCAATTCTTACAGTTAGCATCTCCCCACTCTGAAAGTGCACCATGCATAATTAATTACACTATGTGATTATTTTGTACCAGCTCCATAGGTTTGCACCTGTTTGGTTTCCCCTGTTTTATTAGAATCCCCAGGCAAGATCATCTGAAAGTTTTACTCCACCTCTTAATCAGAAAAGTGATATCATTTGGAAAAGAAAATTGTGACTTGTATTGAGTGTTGACAAAAGGGTTACACAATGAGAACACAATTATAAACCGTGCAACCTCAAAGTCGGAGGTACATCCAGTGAGATTCAGATGGGTCAGTGTTAGGCCAATAAAATGTAATATCTTCATAAATAATCCAGAAGAATATTTTATATGGACATCAATCTAGGAAAGATTGCACATACATTCAATAAAAGATGAAAGGGAGAAAGTACAGAAGACTAAAACAAATGGAATGGAAAGTATATAGAATTCCTCTTTAAATTTGATTCAGTTTAATAAACTTGATTGTTTTCAACCATGACAAAGGTTCTACAATTTTTAACTTCTTGCAATTCTGTGAAGGAAATATTGATTGATTAAGAATGTCATCTAAAAATGTAAAAGGATAAAAGGGCTTGATATACAACAGTGAGGGTAGGAAGACTTAACATAGTGAGAACACCTTTGAACCAAGAGGCCTGATTTGTAGTCAGAAAATAGGCACACATTTACATGCACTGTGAATGCACATAGCTGCAAATGCACACAATGCCTATCTAGTCGTGTGTGCATCAAAATTCCAGATTTGCATGCACATATATAGTTGTGCCTATGCAAAGGAGGCACATATTTACACAAGTGTGCAGCTGTTTTCTGACCAAGACCTAAGATGCCTAAGGGGGATTTTGCTATCTACCTGTGTCATAGATACTTGAGGAAGTAAGAAAAGAGGGATATTGATTTAAGTGAATTATGGGTAATAAAATTACAAATAAAGGCCTTAAAAAAAAAAAAAAAAAAGGAAACTTAAGACATTAGGAAAAATGGTCAAACACTGAGGTCAGTAGAATAATCTGCCAAAGGAGGTGACTGAGGCATCAGCATTAGAACTAATTCTGAGTAAATATCTAGAGTAAATTCTGACTCAGTTATACCTGTGTTACCCCAGAAACCCTAGAAATGTGGGAGAATTCCTGACAATCCTTTCCATCCTGTGATACTGGAGTGGGAGAGGGGAAATGTATAAGCCCTAGGCTAATTAAAGCGTGGTTCCCTGTAAACTAGGGAGGGTTGCTATACAACCCCTGGCTTCAGGCAGTCAGAGCAGGAGGAGAAAGGAGAGAGGACTGGAGCTTGGAGGTGTGTGAGATTTGAGAGACCAGAGAACCGAAGTAAGGGAGACCCTTCCCCGGCAAGGCAGGGAGACTGCCTCCCCCAGCATCTAAAGACCAAGGGTAACCCCACCCAAGGAGGAAGAGGGTAAGAAACCCACAGGGGTTAAGAGGGGCTGGGACTCAGAGCAAGGAGCAAACCCAGACCCTTCCCCCGCTTCCCTCCTCTACCACCTTCCTGGGCCAATAGTGGGGCCCTCGGCGCCCAAGAGCAGTGGCAAGGTGTGGCTTCTTAGCCCCCCCACACCAAGAAAAGCACAGGACCCACCAGATGAACATTGGCCAACTTGTCACAATCCATACTGGCTTTTATTCTTGCTGTGCTTGCTGTAGGCTTGATCCAAAACTCATTGATATCAATGCCAAGAGAGACTCCCATTGAATCTGTTGGGCTTTGGATCAGTCCCTGTTTCAAAGAGGGCAAAGATCCCTCTGCAGAGTGATAGAGGAAACCGTAGCAGCTATTAGAAAGGACAATATCTGGTGTATGCAGTAATGGTCATGCTCCCAATCTCTTCTACATTGGTCCAGTATGTCACTTTCAGCTCTACCAGACATTAGAACTGATCTTTGAATCTTCCACTTGGATTTGTAAGAAGCAGCTGCATGGCTGTTCATTAGCCAGCCTTTCTGTATTTACACCATCACAGAAAATATGATTTATGCCTGTTACAAGCAACTCCGCAACTTTCATGGAAGTGCAGCTTCCAATGAGGTTTATGAAAGTTTATTCAGCCAGTGGTTGTACCCAAGTAAATTACCTTTCTAAATTAAAAGGATATTGTCAAGGATTTTCCATCATTTTCAAAATAAGTTATTGATTCTAATGATCCCTTGGAAGCTTAAAAACGCATATCTCTTTCCTAAACTATCGTTGGCTTTCAGCCTTGGGATGAAAATCATCCAGGCACAGAAGACCCTTCCAAGGCCATTTGCACAGGGGGAGCCATTGGCAGAGCAATATCAGCGAAGGGCTAAGCAACAGACTACTAAGATTGACACAGAGTGTAGCATAGTTGTGGGTCAGGGAAGGGCAATGGGATCCACGCTTATGCAGGTAAAGTGAATTCCTTTAGTGTGCTTACTGCTCTAGTTCTCTAGGTGCTTCTCTTGCATAGGGATGCTATAAGGTTTTGTTTGTTTTTAAAGCAAAAATAGTACTGAAGCATTTGTTTTGGGGGAAAATAATAGAAATTAAATGGATTTTGCAAACGGAGGTAAGGAGGAAGGATATGTTAAATCTTGGGCCTGGTGACCTTGATAGTGTCTCTTAAGGTTTACTTCCATTATTCTTAGAAAGCTTGTGCTTGAGTTTCAAAGAACTTCTTGAATTTTCTTGTGTCATAGAAT